ATAAACGTAATAAACCACATTAACAGAAGCAAAGACAAAAACCACTTGATCATCTCAATAGATGCAGAAAAAGCCTTTGATAAGATCCAACATCATTTCATGATAAAAGCTCTAAGAAAACTAGGAATAGAAGGAAAGTTCCTCAACATTATAAAAGCTATATATGACAAACCTACAGCCAGCATTATACTTAACGGAGAAAAACTGAAACCATTCCCTCTAAAATCAGGAACCAGACAAGGATGCCCACTATCTCCACTCCTATTCAACATAGTACTGGAATTCCTAGCCAGAGCAATTAGGCAAGAAGAAGGAATAAAAGGAATACAAATAGGTAAAGAAACTGTCAAAATATCCCTATTTGCAGATGACATGATCCTATACCTTAAAGACCCAAAAAACTCTACTCAGAAGCTTCTAGACATCATCAATAGCTATAGCAAGGTAGCAGGATATAAAATCAACATAGAAAAATCATTAGCATTTCTATACACTAACAATGAGCAAACGGAAAAAGAATGTATGAAAACAATTCCATTTACAATAGCCTCAAAAAAAATCAAATACCTAGGTGTAAACCTAACAAAAGATGTGAAAGACCTCTACAAGGAAAACTATACACTTCTGAAGAAAGAGATTGAGGAAGACTATAGAAAGTGGAGAGATCTCCCATGCTCATGGATTGGTAGAATCAACATAGTAAAATGTCTATACTCCCAAAAGTAATCTACATGTTTAATGCAATTCCCATCAAAATTCCAATGACATTCATTAAAGAGATTGAAAAATCTACCTGTAAATTTATATGGAAACACAAGAGGCCACGAATAGCCAAGGCAATACTCAGTCAAAAGAACAATGCAGGAGGTATCACAATACCTGACTTCAAACTATATTACAAAGCAATAACAATAAAAACAGCATGGTACTGGCACAAAAACAGACATGAAGACCAGTGGAACAGAATAGAGGACCCAGATATGAAGCCACACAACTATAACCAACTTGTCTTTGACAAAGGAGCTAAAAATATACGATGGAGAAATAGCAGCCTCTTCAACAAAAACTGCTGGGAAAACTGGTTAGCAGTCTGCAAAAAACTGAAACTAGATCCATGTATATCACCCTATACCAAATTAACTCAAAATGGATCAAGGATCTTAATATCAGACCCAAACTCTAAAGTTGATACAGGAAAGAGTAGGAAATACTCTGGAGTTAGTAGGTATAGGTAAGAACTTTCTCAATGAAACCCCAGCAGCACAGCAACTAAGAGATAGCATAGATAAATGGGACCTCATAAAACTAAAAAGCTTCTGTTCATCAAAAGAAATGGTCTCTAAACTGAAGAGAACACCCACAGAGTGGGAGAAAATATTTGCCAACTATACATCAGACAAAGGACTGATAACCAGAATATATAGGGAACTTAAAAAACTAAATTCTCCCAAAACTAATGAACCAATAAAGAAATGGGCAAGTGAACTAAACAGAACTTTCTCAAAAGAAGAAATTCAAATGGCCAAAAAACACATGAAAAAATGCTCACCATCTCTAGCAATAAAGGAAATGCAAATTAAAACCACACTAAGATTCCACCTCACCCCTGTTAGAATAGCCATCATTAGCAACACCAACAACAACAGGTGTTGGCGAGGATGCGGGGAAAAAGGAACCCTCTTACACTGTTGGTGGGAATGTTAACTGGTACAACCACTCTGGAAAAAAATTTGGAGGCTACTTAAAAAGCTAGACATCGATCTACCATTTGATCCAGCAATACCACTCTTGGGGATATACCCAAAAGACTGTGACACAGGTTACTCCAGAGGCACCTGCACACCCATGTTTATTGCGGCACTATTCACAATAGCCAAGTTATGGAAACAGCCAAGATGCCCCACACTGACGAATGGATTAAGAAAATGTGGTATCTATACACAATGGAATTTTATGCAGCCATGAAGAAGAACGAAATGTTATCATTCGCTGGTAAATGGATGGAATTGGAGAACATCATTCTGAGTGAGGTTAGCCTGGCCCAAAAGACCAAAAATGTATGTTCTCCCTCATATGTGGACATTAGATCAAGGGCAAACACAACAAGGGGATTGGACTATGAGCACATGATAAAAGCGAGAGCACACAAGGAGGGGTGAGGATAGGTAAGACACCTAAAAAACTAGCTAGCATTTGTTGCCCTTAACGCAGAGAAACTAAAGCAGATACCTTAAAGCAACTGAGGCCAATAGGAAAAGGGGACCAGGAACTAGAGAAAAGGTTAGACCAAAAAGAATTAACCTAGAAGGTAACACCCACGCACAGGAAATCAATGTGAGTCAATGCCCTGTATAGCTATCCTTATCTCAACCAGCAAAAACCCTTGTTCCTTCCTATTATTGCTTATACTCTGTCTACAACAAAATTAGAAATAAGGGCAAAATAGTTTCTGCTGGGTATTGAGGGGGGGAGAGGGGGGGGAGTGGGTGGTAAGGGAGGGGGTGGGGCAGGGGGGAGAAATGAACCAAGCCTTGTATACACATATGAATAATAAAAGAAAAATGAAAAAAAAAAAAAATTAATCTAGAAGGTAACACACACACAGGAAATCAATGTGAGTCAATGCCCTGTATAGCTATCCTTATCTCAACCAGCAAAAACCCTTGTTCCTTCCTATTATTGCTTATACTCTTTCTACAACAAAATTATAAATAAGGGCAAAATAGTTTCTGCTGCCTATTGAGGGGGTGTGGGAGAGAAGGAGGAGGCGGAGTGGGTGGTAAGGGAGGGGGTGTGGGCAGGGGGGAGAAATGAACCAAGCCTTGTATGCACATATGAATAATAAAAGAAAATAAATAAAAAGTAAAAAAAAAAGAAAATATTTGCTAGCTATACATCAGACAAAGGACTAGTAACCAGAATATTCAGAGTGCTCAAAAAACTATACTCCCCAAAAATCAATGAACCAATAAAGAAATGGTCAGCTGAACTAAACAGAACTTAGAAAACTAAGGAAGAAATCCAAATGGTCAAAAAATGCTCACCATCTCTGGCCATAAAGGAAATGGAAATCAAAACCACACTAAGATTCTACCTCACTCCTGTTAGAATGGCGATCATCAAGAACAATAAATGTTGGCGAGGATGTGGGGAAAAAGGAGCCCTCATACACTGCTGGTGGGAATATAAGCTAATACAACCACATTGGCAAATAATATGAAGGCTCCTTAAAAAACTAAACATAAACCTACCATATGATCCAGCAAATACCACTCCTGGGGATACACCTGAAAGAATGTGACTCAAGTTACTACAAAAGCACCTGCACACCCATATTTACTGCAGCACTATTCACAACGGCCAAGTTACAGAAACAGCCAAGATGCCACACAACAGACAAATTGATTAAGAAAACGTGATATTTATACACAATGGAATTTTACTCAGCCACAAAGCAGAATGAAATTTTGTCATCTGCAAGTAAATGGATGGAACTGGAAAACATCATCTTAAGCAAAGTTAGCCAGGTTCAGAAGGCCAAATTCCCTCATATGTGAATTATAGGCCCAAAACAAATGCAGTAATATTAGACATGGTTCACACACTAAGGGGAGAACATACACAGGAGAAATAGGGAAAGGAAACAAAACCTAACACTTGAATGGGGTTGATGTGCTACCTATTCAGCGAGTGAATAAAGTAATCTTAAATTGGGAAGAGGACCAGGAAGTAGTGAAGAGGTCTGGTACAGACAAACCAATGTGGGTTGCAATGCACAACTACATGGAAGCAACGCTAGGAATCTCTCTGTATAGCTATCTTTATCTCAAACTAGCAAAAACAGTATGCCTTTGTTATTATCTTCTATGTTTTCTCTTCAACAAAATCAGAGGATGAATATGGTGCAAACAATGTACATACATGTATGTAAATGCAAAAATGATACCATTTGAAACTGTTCCAGAAACGGGGGGGTGGGGGGGGGTGGGGGGGGGCGGATTCAAGTATGATATATTTGATACATTGGAAGAACCTTTGTACATGCTACAGTGTACCCACACCCAGCACAACAACACAAATAAATAAGCAAATAAACATAAATAAATAAAGCTGCCATTTTTAAAAGAGTTACACTTAAAAATATACCATTATTTAAAAACTATTTTTGTGTTAGACAGTTAATCCTGGGTACTGCAGAGGGAGAAATCAGGAAGATCACGGTTCAAGGCCAGGCCAAGCAAAAAGTCAGTAAGACCTCATCTGAACCAAAAGCTGGTTGTGGTGGTGCCTGTCATCCCAGCTATGCATAAATAGAATCACCGTCCAGGCCAGACATGGTAAAAATGCAAGGCCCTATTCAAAAAATAACTAATAGAAAAAAGGGCTCAAGAGTGGCTCAAGTTCTAGAGCATGAGCCAAGCGAGCATGAGACCCAAGGCCAAAAAAAAACAAACCTACTTTTGTGTTACTTACAAAAACTATAAAAAGCTAGTCTATAAACTTTTTGTTTTTATGCAAACTAAATGACAAAATGAGGTGAAAGCAATAATTTTTTTAGTATTTAACTATTCAAAGGATAAGATTGTTTCTCACACAAAAAAGAAAAAATTCCTTACCAAGCTGTACCAAATGTTATGAATAAGAATTTCATTTCACTTTACCAACATAATTAAACATATTGCATTTATACTCAATTTGGTTATTTCAAATATACACACTGAACATTCAAAAGTTACCTACCTGAGACCTAAAGGTAAATTACGTGAGGTGTTAGTAAAAAATAAACTTTTCTAAGTACAAAACAGATCCACAAATTTATACCAGGAAACAAAACTGGATGCCTTAACCCATAATCTGGATTTTAAGCATAAGCTAAAAATATCCACTTTCACAGAAATATATAATTTAAGTTGAATGTGCTACATATATGGATTAGAATAATTATTAAACACCTTCAATACGGATTTTCCACATACTTGTCAAGAAAATTGTGCTCTTACCTATAGTTTGGAAGACTTCATTCATCAAACCTTCATTCACTGTTAAAGAGCTGACATTTCCAATGTGAGACCAACTTTGATATATTGCTTGTAATAGAAGTGTCTGTGCTCTTGTAGCTTGAATTGTGAGATTTGGAAGTTCAAATATACCTTCAGTTGTAACAATGTGAGATCTTTTGGTCCTGCATAATAAAACAGAATAACAATACAGTAAACAACATTTATAAACAACATACTAAAGAAATTCAGTTGTAAGGAAAGAAAGGGCAAATATTCAAAATATCTTTAAATTGAATTAAATCAATTATATATGCAATTCTGCTAACTATACATTTCACTACTTCAAAAACTTTCACAATAATGAAAAATAAAAATACAAATTAGAATAATGTCTATATATATTCTGAAGAAATTATACTTTTCAATCAAATCATCAAAAATATCAGAATAATAGTACATAAAAGTTATAGAGGATTTACTAGAAAGTCTACATTATTCTAAATATCTTGAATTCTACATAATAATCCTATGAGTGACTATCACTGCATTCATTTTTCACAGTCAGAAACCAACAGATACATACATAAATTAAGATATATACTACTACTAAGTAGGAAAAATGCTATTTAATTCTAGGAGAGCTGATCTGGAAACCTCCAAACTATACTTCCTCTCACAAGTATTTGTGAAATATTTACATTATGTCTAGGACCCTACTTGATAGTAACAGGAAATTTTTTAAATGTCTGCCCTAGAACATCTAATTCATTGACACCTTACTCATCTAATTCTATGAATGAAGTGTCTCATTCATAAATTTTCCAAATAACAAATCCTCAAAGTAAATGAACATTTAAGTATATCTATAAACAACATATTCCAGGTTAAGGAACACTCAAGTAGAAGAAAAACATAAGGCATATGAAAAAGACCATACTAAGATACTACTACAATAGATTTTGTCACCTTACTCTTCCCTCAACCCCACAAACCTCCACCATTTATCATTTTTCCAACTATATCCACAAACAGACAGTACTGGACACCTATTGTACATTACATCAAAAGCTTCTTAGCCCACTTCTTATTCTAGTCACCCACTGCTTTAGACACCAACTTAATACAGACTTTCAGTGTCATTGTCTAAGGCTACCATGAATTGTGAGATACCTCTGGAAACTAAGCTGTATTCCTGTTTGCAGAACCTGGAAAATGTACAGATAAATGGTTCCCCATTTTCTTCTCCTGCCTGATAATTCTGAGATGCATTTCATAAGTCTTGTAGGAAGTCCCAGAAAAAAGGACAGGGGGGGAAGACTGAAATAATTGTACAAAGCTTAAACCATGGGACAGTATCAAGCATCTGAAGTTACTGGACTCCTATAAGAGAAAGAAGAAAGAAGTGGAGAAGGAGACCAGAAAAATTATTTAAGGAAATCATTTCCAATTTTTTTCTAAATATGAAGAAAACTACAAACTATAAGATCTAAGTTCAATGAACCCCAAGCAGAAAAGACTTTTAAATATACCAAGTAAGATCATCAAATTGCTGAAAACCAGATGTAAAGACAAAACTCCTAAACCAAAGGAAGAGAGTAGAAAAATGTAAAGTGACAAAGATAGGGTAAGGGTATCTCTGTGGTAGATTACATGCAAGCATGAGGCTCTGGATTCAACACCCAGAACTCCCTCCAAAAATTAAAAACAAAGACACAAAGATTAAAATGAAATCAGAATTATCATAGAATCTGTGTAAGGAAAAAAAAACATAGAATCTGTGTACAAGAGAACAATAAAATTACAGAAATGCTGAAAAAAATAAGCTGTCAATCTAGAATCCAAAATTCAGAGAAGATACCTTTCAAAAAGTAATCAACACAAAGATTTTTTTTTATTAAAAGCTGGAAAGAATTCCTCATTAGCATAACTTTACAAAAAATGTTAAATAAAATTATTCAAGCTAAACAAATGTGATACCACAATAAAATCTTTTTACAACTACAAGAAATGTAAATAGTGCAACAAATGGTAAATATATAGATGAATACTTTTAAAAAGAAAATGAGCCATTCCTTCACAGTGTACCCTAAAGAGATAAAAGATATCACTGTTTAAAACAAAAATAACATACTTTAGGATTCATAGCATATGTAAAAGTAGAACTTAGAAGTATACTGCTATGAGGTTCTAATATAACGGATGACATAGTATACTGTAATTTCAAGGTATCTGTGATAAGTAAAGGATATCAATACAAAGCCCTAGAACAAGTAAATCCATAAAACCATAAAATGAAATGTGGTAATAGTAAAAATAGACAATAGAACGGTAGAGATGAAATAGTCAATCCACATGAAGCTCAGAAAACCAATTAACATATGGGTCAATTAGAAAACAAACAAGATGACAGACTTAAACCCAAAATTATAAATGACTATATTAAGTGTCAAAGGTTAAGCAAACCAACTAAAGGTAGAGGTTGTTATATTGCATTATAGCAACTAAGACCCAATGCTATTCCATCACCAAGAAACCCACTTTAAATATTAAAAAGACAAGTCAAAAAGAATCTATTAAATCACCAAATATTTAGAAAATAAACAAAGAATGCATAACTGAAAACAGAGTGGAGCTGTTGAAGTGGCTCAAGTGACAGAGCGCCAACCTAGCAAGCATGAGGCCCTGAATTCAAACCCTAGTAACATCAAAAAACAAAAACAAAAAAAAAAGAAATTCAGTTATAAAATGATTTTAGAAAACAACATTTATATATGACAGAAAAAGAGCAATCTAAAATATACATTATATGCTTCTCTGAAGAAAAATACAAAACAAAGAAATAGTATATAGAACTGTCTAACAAAAGAAATCCTGCCAAAATAAAGATTTACATCAACAACATACACAAAATGTGTTGCAGAAAATACTGATTCAGAATAATTGCCTAATAAAGTAACTGAGCTACAGCAAAGATAAAGAAAAAATTCTATAACCATTCAAGTAAATAAAAACAATCAGGACTTCTCCAGAATTAACCTATTATCTTCCAGAATCAATCCACTAGTATAGAACACACGGTCAATTAAGGTGTACAATTCAAATGTAAAAAAAAAAATTTTTAAGGGTATTTCAAACAATATCCTATGGAGTTGAGATACTAATACAATGTCAGGTCAGTTGGTCACCTTTGTAACTTCCAAACTTGCTTTGAGACTTTTTTTTTTTAACAAGTCAATAGGCTCCTTTTCTATACATTGCTACAGTAGCTACAGTTCATAATTGTTATCAAACTTAATGCTCAAGTGAAGACTGATATTCTACTTTGTAGTTTCTAAGAGAGCCATAAAGAAATAACACACAATATTCTTTCTGTTACTATACCTATTTCTCAGATTAATCCAAGTTTTAATAAAGCTTCATATTGAAGCTGTTCTGTAGAAAAGCAAGTATTTATTTGTTCTCTACTCTGTAGCACTTATATTCTAGCTATTGAGAAAAAAATCTCAGTCATTTTAAGATCTAAAAGAACAAAACGAAAATGAAAAATCCCTGTCTTTAGGGATAATAGAAGGGAACGACGAGAAGGCCAGTATGGCTATAACAGTTTGATAATTATCTAATTCACAAATTCAGCTGGTTTTCTATGGCTTCTACCCACAGGAACTAAATGGGTTTACACATGTCCATTTAACTGAGACTCCATCCAGTCCCACTCTATAGGCTTCAATTTACTATGTATAGTTGTCTTTTGAAATATCCTATCTCCAAATCAACTTTCAAACTTTTTATTTCAGATACCAGATGCAGGACATGACATTTTTTAAAACATCATGTAACTATTCTAAGATTCACTTTCCTACTTAAAACACATGAACCACTACCCCTGCTCAATCTACTTATAGATGACTATAGTAAAATTAACTGTAGTTAATATTTAAAGCTTAATAGATACAAAATCATTTTCTAGTATCTTAGGAGAAAGGCCCAATCTACATACTCAAAGAATTCAGAGTCTAGCATTGAGACAAGTAAACCAATAATTAAACTTCAACATTAGTTCAAAGTGATATAAAGGTCCTTGTGAGACACACTGGGGAGATATATTTTATCTAAAATAAAAATTACTGAAACGGCTGGGGGAAAAACTGATAGCGTTAGATTTACATTAAATGCAAAGTAGTACAACCACTCTGGAAAAAATTTGGAGGCTACTTAAAAATCTAAATATTGATGTACCATATGATCCAGCAATACCACTCTTGGGGATATATCCAAAAGAATGTGACACAGGTTACTCCAGAAGCACTTGCATACCCATGTTTATTGCATAGCTATTCATAATAGCCAAGTTATGGAAACAGCCAAGATGTCCCACTACTGACGAATGGATCAAGAAAATGTGGTATTTATACACAACGGAATTTTACGCAGCCATGAAGAAGGATGAAATGTTATCATTTGCAGGTAAATGGATGAAATTGGAGAACATCATTCTGAATGAGGTTAGCCTGGCCCAAAAGACCAAAAATCATATGTTCTCCCTCATATGCAGACATTAGATCAAGGGCAAACACAACAAGGGGATTGGATTTTGATCACATGATAAAGTGAGAGCACACAAGGAAGGTATGAGGATAGGTAAAACACCCAAAAAACTAGATAGCATTTGTTTGCCCTCAACGCAGAGAAACTAAAGCCGATACTTTAAAGCAACTGAGGCCAATAGAAGGGGACCAGGAACTAGAGAAAAGGTTAGTTCAAGAAGAATTAACTTAGAAGGTAACACACATGCACAGGAAAGCAATGCGAGTCAACTCCCTATATAGCTATCCTTACCTCAACTAGCAAAAACACTTGGTCGTTCCTATTATTGCTTATACTCTCTCTTCAACAAAATTAGAGATAAGGGCAAAATAGTTTCTGACAGTAGCGAGGGGTTGGGGAGTAAGGGAGGGGCGGGGGAAGTGGGTAGAAATGACCCAAACATTGTCTGTATGAAAATAATAAAAAAAGAAAAAATAAATAAAATAAAATAAAAACTACTGGAAACGCTGGGGGAAAAACTGATAGCCTTAGATTTACATTAAATCTGGAAGAATGATTATAAATTATTTCAACAAAAATGTTTCAAAAATCTTTAAAGAAAAACAAAACAAACCCCCAAATTTTAAATGGTCAAAAG